AATTCTGATTTTTTCCCAACGCTGTATGCATGTTGAGTTCTCCTCAATCGCAGTTTTTGATCATCATCCGAACTTTGCTGCGATTGCTCGATCTGGAAAAGAATTCTATGAACCAGACTTACGGCGGAGGAAGATCTGCGGTGGAATTTGTCATAATTTCTCTAATGGTAAGTTCGTGTGGACATGCGAATCGTCGTCACGAGATCAGACTACCCATCTGAAAGATTATGCGATAATTTTTTGGCCTGAGTACTCACCGTGTAGCTATCTTCAGTTACAGTATCAGACTGATCTGAATCGTTATCAGATTCTTCTCCTTCGTTGTCACTGAACTGAGCCGTAATTTTAGGTCGATGATCACGCCGCGGATTATCCTCAACACTCGGATGCTGTGAATTTTTATTAATTGAGAACGCTGATTCCATTAGAGAGCTTAATTGTGGCTGTTTATTGCTGTCTTCTTCCGTGGCGAAATGCGGATCTTCGGCTGTGAACATCAGGAATCTCAGCACCTGAATTGAAGAGAAACCAAGTGTTTGGTTGCGAGGGACTAAAATTTTTCAGTGGTTCTAATAAGTTAATGGCTCATAGAGAGTAGATAATGTTTGTGTTGATTCATGTATACTCTAATAGCTTATTATATCATTATGTTGATGTTTTCGTAATAACGTGTTGTTTTCTTCTAACTTTTAGTCTCCTGATAGAACTGAATATCAAATTACTTGGGCACTATATTCATGCGCTTTTTCGTTAATCTTTCTCAACGGTCCGATTGGTGCCAACACCGCGAAGGCATCTGAAATCTTGTGGCTATCATCGTAAATTCTCATCAATCTTTGTCATTCGTATAAAAATTCCAGTCTTATCAACCGGATTGGAATGCCTATTGTTGAAGAGAAAAGGAATGCTCAGTGAGAACTAACCCCAAAGGATGACACAAAACAACACGAACCACGCTGTATGTGTTGGGAACATACGCAAATAAAACACAGAAACCAATGAACAATTGCATATAACATAGAATTGATGCAGAAATAGTGGTGCGTCTTTGACGAAAAATGCTACGATACCAACACTGCCATACGCAATCACCAACAATGCAGTCGGTATCAACGGAGCTTCTTTATAACCGAACGATTTGAAGGCATCACTGAATTTCAAACGTAAATGTTATGATGAATCATGGAGCAATTAACTGATTCGAAATCAATTCCGTTTGTAGACACACTAAAAACTGAAGAGTAATCACAATTTTTTGAGAGTTTCTTGATTTGGTTGCACGGAAATTTGATATTATTGGATGATATAAATGAAGCTTCATCGAGATCGATCTTCATGAAAATTCTTTGATTCCTGATTAAAATCAGTGAAGAGACGTGATGAGTAAAGTGATTCTTACACAATGAATGATGCGAAAACGCCGAAAATGATTAGTACACAAGAAAAATATAGCCAAATTTGAACGAGTCTCTTGTAGTCGTACAACGCCATCATAAGCAACGTAAAGCTGATTACAGCCAGTGTGATAACGCATCCGATCCCATTTACCTAAAGCTTAATTTCATTTCATTTCACCGTATCAGTGATTGAAACTATTTTCGGAAATGGACGAACAATCTGATATCTGAATCTTTTGCTAAGAACGAAGCATTTTCAGTTGATCAACCTAATTTTAAGAGTTAGAATCAAGTCCTGTCATATTGTAACGAATGATGCGAAAAATTGTTCAAACTGAATGACGAGAGACTAAGCTGGAAGTTCAGTATGCACGCAGA